ATGAGTTGACTTTGTTTGAAAACTAGTGCAACATTAAACCTTAATATTTTATCTATTTAATTAAAATATTTAAAAACAAATACTACGACTTTATGGTTACCACCTCTTACTGTAAAGTTTGGAAAGTAAACTACACTTACAGTTAAGTCTTCTCGTGTCCTTTAACATTCAAATTAAAATTGATTTTCTACACACAACAAGATAACTAGTCAAGATTATACGTGTCAAATACACAACTACTAACGTACTGGTAGATGACCTTCTGACAATTATCCTGCAACATAACTTTAAATATATCTACTTTACTACTAAAACTGAAAACAATAATAAAATTAAACATCACAAGAAAATACAAAAACCTATGTTATAGGGTTTTGTATTTTTGTCTTAAATTGACTTTTTTCAACCTACATGTTTTCCTCACATCAAACTGATCATTCTGTTTAGAATTGAACAAAACATATTTCTCTGAATGTGTTCCATCCAACAATGTAGATGAGAATGAGGATGTCACATAGCAACTTAATCACATTCAGTCGAAAACTTGGACATGTCCTTAACAGCTACATGTGACAATGATGGTTACCCTTGACAACAGAAAGAAACTAAAACATACCTTCAAAGATGGAGGTGACAATGAAGGACTACCGGGGACAGAAAGTGACTGATTATGTTTAGCTATTAGCTTCTGAAGCCTTATCTGTCGATGCTGCGTAGTCTCAGGCATACAGTGCAGTAGGTGGGTGGTGAGGGTGTACACAGAACTACAGGGATCTGTGAAAACCAGGGGTGGTAAGGCACAAGGTTTGACAGTAGGCAAAGTTTGCACTAATAGCAATCCATTGTGCTGAAGTGTCCTATAGGGAAACCAGCATTTTTTCTAAATATGCAAGTGTCAATATACAACAACACAAGATCTCATGACTAAAGTAAAGTCTGATAATTCAATATATGTTAATCTAAATGTGTTACTGTGAATAATTTAGATTATATTAAAAATGGTACACTAGGTAACATGTTGAAATAATACACACGTACTTAAAAGTAATATTTCACCTAGGAAACATAAAAGCACAACACATGCATATATTCAAAAATGACTAGACCTAAAAAATACACCAGTACAAAATATATGTATATTTAAAAAATAAATTTGTCAAGTAAAATACAAGTCTCAATTGAAAACTTATCTATTGTTAAATTAAGCAAACAGCTGCTCACTGGGCTATTAGATACTGTGACTACCATAGAAATATCTCAACTAAACACTTAATCACATGAAATATTGTGTGTTCAGTAAAATACAAAATTAGCATTTCAATTTCAATTAGATTTTTTTTCTTTTCATCAAAGGTAGAATTAAAAATATACCCCGTGATGTAGAGGCTAATATATTCTTTGATTCACCATACTCTGTTGTGGACTGTAGTTTTACCTATTCAAGGCTTATCAGCACAGATTAAGTCAACAAATCAAAGAAGTACAGTAAGGCCTCTTATAATGGTGTTGTGTATATAATATTTATGGAGTTTTTAAATGATTTTAGCTCACCATTTAGTAACATGAATTTATTTACATAAGTAATTAATATTGTGGCATTACAATAACTAAACCAACTCCACAAGTATTCTTACAGAAAACTTCACCTATTGTTGGGACTGTCAGTGTTCAGTGAAACACAAAATTAACATATCAATTTTAGGTTTAACCCTTCCAGGATTTGCCCAGGATATCTCGGGTGCTCTTCAGGTTTCAAAAAAATATTTGCCCAAGTTAATTCAGGGATAGCCACCTCTCATGTATTTTTCATTATTTGCCCAAACTTATTTGCATTTATTATGTATTACAATAGGCGATCAAAAAGAGTATTATAAACACCTGCCTTTTTCTTTTAGCTCATTTCAAAAACAACCTGACAAAGATGGGGTTGTTAATCATGTTGTTGGGATTGTCAGCATGGGTGCTGGAAGGAGTGCAAAAGCGGAAGGCTGTAACCAGGCTATATTTCTTACAATACTGCAGAATGTTATCAACAATACTCTACTGTAACCATACATTATATACAAATACCTACAAAAACTCCCTAATTAATACTCTGGTACCTCCTTTTCTTTAGCAATATTCTGTCACAGTTTTCTACAGGTCTCAACCATTTTAAATTGGACTGGTAATACAGTTCTGTTCCACATAGTTGAGTTGTCAACACTTAGGTTTTCTTTTCTGTACTCTTGGTATGATGTTCAAGAAGCAATTATGTTACATGAATTCAGATAAAGGAGCTATTCAAAGAATGGCTAATCCCTAATGTACATTACGGAGAAATCTTAAGCCATAAAGCTCACTGTGTCCTGATTGGTAATATAACAGGCAACACCACCTAGTGTATATTAATCCCAAAACTTTAATTGTAAGCATACTGTTGTCCTGACTGAAGGATTAATTCTTGCCAGTAATAAGTTTTACTGTATTTGTTAAAACATAACAGAATGTTTCAGGTTGTCCAAATATGTGAAGCTCTGTAGTTTATTAACACAAAACTCGCCCTACATCTATTAAAAGTTAAGTTTAATAGATAAGATGATTGTCTGAGGGTATTAAAGCTTAGTAATTAGAATTCAAACCTCTTAAGTGATTTTGACAAAGCTAATTAGAGCATGCATGAATTAAAAAATAAATAAAGATTTATGTTAAAACTTTAGTTGATAAGTAAAATCAGATGTAGTACAAAAGAGAAATAAGTCCACATGAGGTATACCTCCTTTCAGACAGGTCAGCTGCTTGCCAGGTCTGTTGATGCTGTATCCGGTATGCTGCTTTCAGAGTCAAATACATAGATAGCCACCTGGACAGAGTAGCATACAAATGAAATAACGATAACCAGGAATAACGTGACAGAACACAAACTTCACTGTTGAACTATACACTTTGTACAATAGCACACAAACCATATCAGAAAACTCAGTCTACAGTTTTATGGCATTTCATCAATGTGCATATCAAAATTTAGTATCCTGAATTGTATTTAGCTTTGTGAAGTATTAAATACATTAAGAAGTTGACTACAATAAAATAATACAGAATAATGCCATATAACATAACACTGTTTTGGGACACCATGAGACCTATTGGTCCTTTTTGGCTGTTCCATCATCTAAACTAAAATAAATCTTAAAGCCAGCCCTTATCATTCATATACTTAAAGTTTTTTCTTAAACTTACAACATCTGAAGGCAACCCATTCTAAAGGCCAATCATCCTGTTAAAAAATTAAACTCTTAGCTAAAGATGACTCCTACCTTGCTAAAATTTATATTTGTGTCACCTAGGTCTACTATTCTCACTGTTAAATATGAAAAAAGATGAGGCATCAACACTATCAATTCCCTTAACAATCTTAAACACCTCAATCAGATCCCCTCTAACTCTTCTGTTTTCAAGAGAAAACAATTTGAGAGTTTCAGCCTCTCCTCGTAAGACAACCCCTTGAGACTGAAATATTTCATGACTAACTGTGTAATAACAAACTTACAGTATTCTAATTCCATAACTTTCAAAGGACCGAGAACATAATTAGCAACATACCTAGCTAAGAGTCCAGTCAAAGCCACAGAACTGAGTTCAGCAGGAGAAATATCAATGAACCGTGTAAATGAAAATGCACAGTCAGTATGAGTGACATTGTTCACTGTAAGAAAATAAATAAATAAAGAATTATACAAGAAAAATTATATGCTACTATTTAGTTTTAAAACAAAACATAAAAATAACAAAACTTACACAACTGAATGCCTTAATCATTTAATGAATCAAATGCTTACCAACTGACTGAGGCAGTTGTGATAATTTGGACAAAAACATATTTAATTTAAAAAATGTCTACTTTCTGAATTAACATTCAATATGGTACCTTGAGAGTTTGGAGGAAAGAGACAATGATGAACATGTTCAGGGTGAAAGACGCCCAGCATCTGACTAAGAAGATGATATCTGTCCTCATTACACAGACTTAGTAGACCTGTAAATAATGCACAGGAAACCTGAAACTCAGCATATTCCACTCTTACACAAGAATTCAGTAATACACTGTATATTGTTGGCTCCTATATGATATATATCAATGTTGAATGCACAAAATACTGTTTTCAATGCTTTCAGTACTGAAGCTGAATAAAAAGATATAAATGAAGTTGTTCATACACTAGGATTTTCAAGTATTAAAATGAGTGTTTGGATCAATAAATATTAAAGAAAAATACCCATGATTACTCCATGTCGATTAACCCCTTTTGCAACAGGTACCTCTAACTCTTTCAGTATGGGCTTGGTCCCTGGGATCGACCTTGTAACCATTTTGTGCTTGTTATAGTTTTCATGCTATAGCTTTTAAATTAGTAAGCAAATGTGAACAAAATTTGGCAGATTATCAGTAAACATTACAATGCTTTCATACACAAAATATCATTTTTTTATTAAGTCTTAAGGTTTATAAAGCAATGTTTCTCTCATACCTATCTATCATGCAAAGTAATTTTCATTTTAAGATTAAAAATACTTTTATGCATCAGAAAATTTTGAAATTTCATATGCAAAATATTTATAATGTCCAAATAGTTATCAAACGTTTCTTAAGAAAAAACTATATTTTATCTGTTATTTTCACTAATTAATCTCTGTACGGGTTCAGTACACTTGACCTATCTCGCAACCACCATAAAAAATTAGGAAATAAATAAAAATTATGCCTCTTTCATTCTAGAATGAACACATATTATAACACAAAAACATAAATGTTTAGACCAAAAAGCTTAAATCTCATAACATTATACATTTATATATATTTATTATTTTTTATTATATTGACCTTTCAGCCATGCCTGGCTAACAACTGAGAAGTTACAATGATGCTGTTCACATGCACTCATGTTACCATATCAAATAACATAAAACTGACATTTGGTCTGTACAAAGTAACTTCTCTTGGCTTTGTTTTAGTAAACTATTATTTTGTAAAATACAGTCACATTTCAATTATTATACATTATATATGTATATAGATTAGTGCTATTTTGAAATAAGTTCTTAAACTTATTTTTCCTAAAACATAGAACAGTAGATAAAGAAGTAAAGCAAACAATTATCTCTTGTAGTTACGACCTTTGTACTCGGTAGCTGCTTCACATAGGTTGCTAAGCCTTTAAAAATTTTGCACATGGAGGACATGAAACAAAATATTTTTTTTAAGGTTTTATATATACATTTGAAAAACTAAAAAATCATAAAGCTTAGTAACTCAGCTGTATTTTAGTCTAAAAAAAAATAAATTTCGAGCAGACT